GATCTGTCTTCTATCCTATGATTCCCTCTTCCCCCTATTCTACCCCCCAGAAATTCAAAGAAGAGCTAATTCCAATACTCCTCAAAGTATTCCACACAATAGAAGCAGGAGGTTCACTGCCAAACTCTTTCTACGAGGCTACAATTACCTTGATACCCAAGCCACACAAAGACACAACTAAGAAAGAGAACTATAGACCAATTTCCCTCATGAACATTGATACAAAAATACTCAATAAAATACTTGCAAACTGGATTCAAGAACACATCAGAAAAATCATCCACCATGATCAAGTAGGCTTCATCCCAGGAATGCAGGGATGGTTCAACAGTAGAAAATCTATCAATGCAATCCACCATATTAAACAATCTGTGAAAGAAAAAACACATGATCATCTCACTAGATGCTGAAAAAGCCTTTGACAAAATCCAGCACCCCTTCATGATAAAGGTACTAGAGAGATCAGGGATAACAGGAACGTACCTGAATATAATAAAAGCAATATACAGTAAACCAACAGCTAACATCAAACTAAATGGAGAGAAACTCAAAGCAATTCCTCTAAAATCAGGAACAAGACAAGGCTGTCCACTCTCTCCATATATCTTCAATATTGTGCTTGAAGTTCTAGCTACAGCAAGAAGACAACAAAAGGAGATAAAGGGGATACAAATAGGAAAAGAAGAAGTCAAACATTCACTATTTGCAGATGATATGATAGTTTACATAAGTGACCCAAAAAAATTCTGCAAGGTGACTCCTAGAGCTGATAAACACCTTCAGCAATGTGGCAAGATACAAGGTAAACTCAAAAAAGTCAGTGGCCCTATTATATACAGATGATGAAGTGACTGAGAAAGAAATCAGAGAAACATCACCCTTTACAATAGCCAAAAACAGCATCAAATATCTGGGGATAATGTTAACCAAGGAAGTTAAAGACCTGTACATCAAGAACTTTGTGTCTTTAAAGAAAGAAATCAAAGAAGATACCAGAAAATGGAAAGATCTCCCATGCTCTTGGATTGGTAGGATCAACATAATAAAAATGGCAATCTTGCCAAAAGCAGTCTACAGATTCAATGCAATCCCTATCAAAATTCCATCACAATTCTTCAAGGACCTGGAAAGAACATTAATCAACTTTATATGGAAAAACAAAAGGCCCAGGATAGCTAAAACATCCCTATACAATAAAGGAACTTCAGGAGGCATCACCATACCTGACTTCAAGCTCTATTATAGAGCTATAGTCCTGAAAACAACCTGGTATTGGCACAAAAATAGGCAGGTAGACCAATGGAACCAAATCGAAAGCCCTAATTTTAACCCACACACAGGAACACTTTATTTTTGACAAAGAAGATACAACTGTACAATAAAAAAGAAAGCATCTTCAACAAATGGTGCTGGCATAATTGGGTACTGGTATGCAGAAGACTGCAGATAGATCCATGTTTATTGCCTTGTACAGAACTTAAGTCCAAATGGATCAAAGATCTCAACATAAATCCAGCCACACTGAAACTTTTAGAAGAGAAAGTGGGAGATACTCTTCAACGAGATGGTACAGGAGACCACTTCCTAAACATAACACCAGTGGCACAGGCACTGAGATCGACAATTAACAAATGGGACCTTCTGAAACTAAAAAGCTTCTGTAAGGCAAAGGACACAATCAAAAAGACAAAAAGGCAGGCCACAGAATGGGAGAAGATATTCACTAACCCCACATCTGACAGAGGGCTAATCTCCAAAATTTACAAAGAACTCAAGAAACAAGTCTCCAAAACACCAAAGGATCCAATTAAAAGGTGGGGTACAGAGCTAAATAGAGAATTCTCAGTAGAGGAGGCTAAAATGGCCAAGAGACACTTAAGAAAGTGCTCAACATCCTTAGCCATCAGGGAAATGCAAATCAAAACAACTCTGAGATACCATCTTCCTCCTGTCAGAATGGCTAGAATCAAAAACACCAAAGACAATTTATGCTGGAGAGGATGTGGAGAGAGAGGAACACTCCTCCACTGCTGGTGGGAGTGCCGACTCATACAGCCTCTTTGGAAATCAGTATGGAGATTCCTCAGGAAAATGGGAATTAATCTACCACTAGACCCAGCAATTCCACTCTTAGGCATATATCCAAATGAGGCAGGTTCATACAACAAGGGCATCTGCTCCACAAAGTTCATAGCAGCATTATTTATAATAGCCAGAACCTGGAAGCAACCTAGATGGCCCTCAACTGAAGAGTGGATAGAGAAAATGTGGTACATTTACACAATGGAGTATTACTCAGCAGAAAAAAAACAATGGAATCTTGAAATTCGCAGGGAAATGGATAGCACTGGAAGAAACCATCCTGAGTGAGGTAACCCAGTTGTAAAAAGACAAACATGGTATGTAGTCACTCATATATGGATTTTAGACATGGATCAGCATAGTGCCAGTCTGCACTTCCACTGATAGAGAGTCTGGGAAACAGGAAAGAACCTAAAAGATATGCATATATGCATAGTACCCAAGAGAAGAGGATTGAGACAAGATCCTCTGAATGGATGGGGAACATGGCGAGGGGTGGGGGGGAGTGGGACCTGGGAAGAAGAGAGGGGGTGAAGAGGAAGAGAGTTGGTCATGGGGGAACAGGAAGTTGAGGGGTTGGGAGTAGAATAGGGGGAAGAGGGAATCATAGGATAGAAGACAGATCAGGCACCAGAGTGACCTTGAGTGATCTATAGGGATAACACCAATTGGCAAGCTAAGCAATAGTGGAGAGACCACCTCGAATGCCCATTCCTGATAATGAACTTGATGTCTATAACCATCCGGGAGATTTTGTTTTTTTACTCACTTACTTGGGGGCTGAGTTTCCCAAGGTCTCTCATTCTCTGTATAATGTCTCGCTGTAGGTCTCTGTATTTGTTCCTGTCTGCTGGAGAAGGATGCTTCTCTTATGATGGCTGGGCAAGTCACTGATCTCTGACTATAGCAGAATGTCATTGAGAGACATTTTATTGATACATTCCCCTAGTAGAACAGCATTATTTCGTTTTCCCCCTAGGTCCCTGGCCTATCTAGTCTCAGGTTCTTAGTTACCCAAGCAGTGTCAGCTATGGGTTCCATCTCATGGAAAGGTACTACGCTTTACTTCTTAGGTCATGATGGACTGCAATAACAGTACCCCATGAACAAAGCAATAATACTATTCCAAAAAAGAAAATTGTTATAAGTATCAGAGTGACTATAATTAAATTTGAATATATGCCTTGCATCCAGAGAGAGAGCTTTACATATGTGTGTGTGTTTATGTATATATAAAACCTGTGTGTGTATACTAGAAGAGTTAAAACATTGCTATTTATTTTATTGAAGAAATGGAATCTCATTCTTGAATTTCTGTTATTTCTGTAGCACCTATTTCACATTGCTGTGTTATATGAACTATTTAGTTAATGAGTTTTTTCTTTAGATGAATTTGATTTTCTTTTAGTTTTATCCTGAATCGATGTATTATACCAGGAAAAGGCTGGATTCCTGTTACAGAGTGTTTTCTTATGCATATTCAGTAAAATCACACATAAACAGCTTAATGTCTGTGTAACATCTACAACCATTTTATGTATGATCAATAATTCCTTTACTCCAGTGACAATTGTATGATGCAACCCTTAGGAATGATATTGTAGTTATTTTTTTAATTTAAAGGGATGTTTTTAACGTGAGAGAAAATAAGATTCAAAACAGTGTATTTTATGAGCCTGCTTTTGTTACAAACTATATAGTAATAAATACTCTTACATGTTAAGATAATATGAACTAAAATATTACCAAGGAAAGTACCATGGTGGTATAATTAGGAGGAATTTTTAACTTTTAGTTTCTTTCTGTTGTATATTTGTTTAGGTAAGGTCTCACTGAGTAGGTCTGGCTGGCCTGGGACTTGCTATGTAGTCAATATTGACCTCAGACTCAGAGTCAGCTTTCCTCTGCCTCCTGAATGCTGGGATTAAAAGCAGGTGCCATATCCTGCATACTCTAATTTCTTAAACTGTTTATACATATGCGTTTTCTAATCAGGAGCTTAAAAGAGAATAAGATTGTAAATTATTATTTAGCTATTATAATATTTAGCTGCCAAGAGGTTAATTAAGACTTCTTATAGACTGTAGTTAATTTGCTATCATGTAATTTTTTAAAATAGCTGTACATATGCTTGTTATCTTCACAAGTGGTTTTTTTTTTGGATTATAGGACACCCCTATTGGTATCTTCAGAGAATTGGAGACTTAATGTGGGAAATGTTGACACATTTTAGTAACAGAAGTGTTGGGTGTGAATATAATGAAAAACTTTCTTATTCCAAGACAAGTTACTCAAATTGAAGGAACAACAACAAAACAAACAACACCCCCAGAAACTGGCCAATTAAACAAACAACAATAACCAATATAGGCTATCATTGGAAGGTACATTTAAAAAATCCTAAGGGTAGAAAGGAGTACTTTTATGGAGAAATATGATAATCCTGTTTTGAAATGCCCAGATTGTGGTACCTGGGAAATGTCATGTGAAGATTTTTTTATTTTAAATAGCTTGTTTTACATGTCAATCCCAGTTGCCTCTCCCTCCCCTCCTCCCGCACCTCCCCAACCTTCCCCCCATCCTCTCAGCCTATTGCCAATTCCTTCCACATAGGGGATATCTAGAGTCTATCATTTCATTCAGTGTAGGGTCCAGGCACTTCCCTAAGAGTCCAGGCAGAGAGAGCAACCCTCTTTGTGTTATGGACACACGATGTCTGTTAGTATTCGAGGGATAAACACTGATCCACTGCTCAGGACCCCATAAGTAGCCCAGGCCTCCACATTAACTCTCACATTCAGGGGGTCTGGATTGGTCCCATGCTGGCCTCCCAGCTCTCGCTCTGGGGTCCAAGAGCTCTCATCTTCACAAGTGTTTTAATTTGATGTTTTTCTTCAAAACAATTTCACTTCTCTCTAAAACAGGCCATTCAGAAAGACAATATTGGAGTTGTAAGAATACATGCTGAAAATGCAATTCATAAGAAAAAACAAGCAAAAATAATCTTGATCTTGAGGAATAAGGCTGATGGTCAGGCAGCCAGACTTCAAGCTGCAGTGACAATGGGCAAGGTAAGACTAAGCATCTGGCAATAAAATAACATTTTACTGAAGTTTGATGAGACTAGGAAGACTTACAAAAATAACAAATCTGGGTTTTTTACAGGATATTATATGGTGTTAATAAAGGGCTTCATGGAAAGTTAGACTTAGTAAGGAAAACTATTTTGGCAGTGAACTTTCCAACTGTTTTATTAGCTGCTTACTAAGAAATGTCAGTAAAATAAACCAGACAATGACTAGACCTAGATACAGAATGTGGTTTTACTGTTAAGAAAATAATAGATAAGTTTCCTAAATTATATGTAACTAATATATTTAAAAGACTACAAAAGTTACATGTTTCTAAATCAGTTTTTCTATTCCAAATAGGTGAAAAAAATCCATGGCAGCTATACTTAAAACTTTGGGTGCTACATTGACACATATGGATCTTGAAAAGGTAAAAACAAACAATTACCATTGTTACACTATGTTCAGACAGCATCTTTTCAGGATACATTTTTCTTACAGCCATATCGTTATAGATTTCAGCCTTAATGGACAAATTTGAACATCAGTTTGAAACAATGGATGTTCAAACACAACAAATGGAAGATGCACTGAGTAGTACTAAAACTGTCATAACACTACAGGTAAGAATAATGTCTTTACTTAGAGTGGTTTCTTAAAGATGGCTTGATCCCCTATGTGGAAGTATGTGGCAATAGGGTGGGAGGGAGGGTGGAAGGGGAGTGCGGGAGGAGGGGAGGGAGAGGGAACTGGGATTGACATGTAAAACAAGCTATTTAAAATTAAAAAAAAAACTAACGAAAAAAAAAAAGATGGCTTGATCTGGTCATAGTGACAGATGCTTGTAATTTAAGCACTCAGCTCCCTAGTGATTGGGAATTGAGGCAAGATTTCTATGAGGTCAAGACTAGCCTGTGCGATGGAATAAGTTCCAGGCCAGCCTGAATTACATAGTGGGAACCTGTCTCAAAACAACAAATCACCTGCATTCCAAATGTAATGGCTTTATGAATAGAAATCATCTTACCTTATGGGAACACACAGTGTCTCAGATGGAGGTAGGCAGCTTGCTACTGCTCTGCTCTCAGATTCTTGAGAATGTTTTAGAGGATAATTTTACCTAGCACCTAGCATGCTTTGGAATTCTGGTAATTTTATTCAATCACAAATGTAGAATCTAGAGCCTGTTTCCGCATGTTTGCTAATGCTCTTATATTAATAACATTAAACCTAAAAGTATATAATATTTGGGTAACATACTTTGCTACATATATTGTTTAATGTTTGAATCAATGTCCACATATATACTCAAATATTTGATATTTATTAATGGTTTAAAAATGGAAAATACTGTTGGGCAGTGGTGGCACATGCCTTTAATCCCAGCACTTGGAGGCAGAGGCAGGCAGATCTCTGTGAGCTCGAGGCCAGGCTGGACCGACAGCCTCCGAAACAATACAGAGAAACCCTGTCTCATAAAACCAAAAAAAGCAGGAAAATACTTTCTTTTAGTGTTTTAGAAATACATAATGCACTGCTGTTACTATAGTTACTCCTGTGTACATCAGAAATTTTTGTTCCACTCTTGCTGTTATTTATTACTAATTTACCACATTTTCCTGTATCCCAATCTTTTTTTTTTTCTGTTGGGGAAGGGGGAGTTCAAGACAGGGTTTCTCTGTGTAGCTTTGAAGGCTGTCCTCAAACTTGCTCTAAATCTGCCTGCCTCTGCCTCCCAAGTGCTGAGATTAAAGGTGTACTCCACCACCACCCAATTTGTAACCCAATCTTATTTAGCCTCTGATAACCACAATTTTACCCTCAGCTTGCTTATATAATTCATATTATACCATACCTGACAGTTTTCTGTGTAACATATCTCACTTATTATTTTATATTCAACCCATGTGACAAATGATAGAATTTTATTCTTTAGGTGGAGGAAATAGTATTTTGTATGTAGTACATGGTCCTTTTTTAGTCATTGGTTCCTAAACATATAATTTTGTTTCTATTTCATGGCTCTCAAGAATGTTATTCTGTGGAGCACTCCCTGACCAGCAGGAAAGACTACCACCAGACAAGGATTCTTCCCAAATCACGCTTTATTGGAGCCTCTTGGTTGAAGGGAGAGCAGGAAGCAAGGGACCCCAAACAAAGACTGCAGCTGCTTATACAGGAGCTGAGGCAGCGTGCAACTGTCCTATTGGTCGAGCACCCCTGGCAGCCACCTCAGGCTCCCTGATTGGCCCAGCAAGCTGAAGACACTGAGCATGCTCCAGCTGGTGATTCTGGTTATGACTCTATATGGAGTTGTTTACTCCAGCCCTGCAGGGGCCCAGTGCCATCTTGGAATGGCGGCCACACCTCATGGCTCCCTGCAGTTCCCCCTTCTTTTTTTCCTTCAGAGCCAAGTCAGGTCTTATTCCCGATCAGGTCTTCACCTCATGATGTGTGGACCGATCAAGGGAGGCCAAAAACACCTAATAGCATTCCTTCTCCAGTGCAATGGGATCAATCCCTTGGAGGTGCAAAGGCAATGCTACGAAGGGGCCAGCACGCCTTCTTCAGTGCAATGGGCAAATATCCCATGAGGGTGCAAAGGCCGTGCTTGGCTAGTGGCTCCTGAGAGCGGACAGCCATACTTGGGGGGAGTTGCCTTTCTCAAGAGCAGCCAGTGCCTGCAGCATTACTGCCTTATCACGGGACACCTGAGTCCGCAGGCGGCAGGTCAACCAAAGGCACAGTATGCACCCTCCTATGCAGCATGCAAAAAACATCCCTACCCCCACCCACTCCTTGAACAGGGAGAAGGCAGAGGAGATCCAGGACTGTAGTCCCTTCGCCAAGCAGAGATCCACACACATTGAATTAATTAGGACTACAGCATGCCTAAGGTCTTCCAGGGTGGCATCAAAATCCTCAGACCAATTTCCTGCAAGATACAAGGACAAAGAGCGAGACAAATTGGCAGCCCTAGTAAAATTTTCATATTGAACACTGGTAATGCACAGGGCGTCCAACTTCCATTCGCAGCCCAATTGGGCCAGCTGCCAAAGAATATCCACCTGCTCTTGTACCAAATCTATTCTTTGGTTGATCACCATTAATCCACCTTTAATATGAGCATCCATGGTGGTTTGTTTGTCTATGGCTGAGGCTACAGCGGTGGACAACCGATTAAGCGTCTCACCTGTTTGAACAGCAGTAGTCATGGCAATAGCCGCCGTAGTGGCAGAGGCCACTATGGCCGACATTGCGACCACCACCAAAGCCGTGACACTGAAGTCCCTCTTGTGACGAAATAACGTCATCGTACTAGGGGCTTCTACCGGCACAGGGACCCAACGAGGGACCCATGCTACCAAGGCTCGAGTGTATTTAGCCATGTTCCAGCATTGTGATAATGAGCAAGTCTCATTAGAGCAATTGGTAAAAGAAGAATTACTTAAAATAAACAAAAATGGAGGATGAAGGCATACTGGGGCAGCTGTAAGAGGTAACATTTACAACATCTTCCAACCTTTTGGTGCATCCTCCAGTACCATTAACTTGCATAAACCCCAGCACCATCCCTCCCCCTCTATTTCTTGCTACCTCTCTTTCAGTCAGATTATACACACAACTAAACTTACTATATCCTGTCTCCCCCCCCTCCCAACAACACAAAAGGGGAAATATCTGAACAGCTACCATATACACCACAAAGTAACCATTTATCATAGGGAATCATAATATCCGCCTGCATAAAAAAACCATGGTAAACGAGAACCTATGAGGGGCTGGTCCCCGCATATAAGGTGAAAAGGTGAATCTATGTGCGCTATCCGCCCAGGCGACCATGTGAGACTGACAGTCTGTCCAAGGCCAAAGTTCTCCTTCCTTAAGGGAGCCCCAGCAGTGTGGAGCAAGTCGTGGCTGGACAGGCGTAGACTCACTTTCTGAAACATTGGGGAAGGACACAAAGGTACCATTGAACCAAAGGGCCTTTTGGGTATAAGAATAATTGCTAAACTGAAAAGGGGACGACTGATTCCCTGGCCCAAATTGCCAATTTCTTCTCTCCTGGGAAACCAAAGTAAAGTCTTGATCCTGCTGGAACCATGCCAAACCCTGCTTTCTTAGAGCAATGCATGATCCCGGGTTTATTTCCAAAGTAAAACATAGGGAACCCTCTTCCATAAAACTTCTATTCTCCCCTAAGGGGGCCACATGCATATCAAGGGGTAACATGGGAAGACCCAACATTTTCTGACTGATAAAAAATCGTGGGAAAACAGCTGCATTATGCCTGACAGGAATCGGCTTGGGGAAGGCTGACAGAATCCCCCATCTCTGCTCCGCTCGACTCTGTATCATCTTCCACAGGATCGACAGCATCAATATCTTGACGAATGGCAGAATCATTTTCCTGAGCCTCGACAACTCTGGTCAGGTGACTCGGAACCCAATGAGGTGCTTCTTGCCCCTGTGGAAAAACACAAACAGCTCCTCTGGACCTCCGAATGACGGGGTCTGGGCCATACCATTTGTTATCCAGCACATTCTTCCACATCACATCCCCTACCCTATCCGGGGTGGGGTAGGTGTGTCGGTCAGCCGCTGTACGGCCTTTGTCATCCATTATCAAGAAATTGAGAGTAAAAAGGGCCATGGCAATCCTGTTCCTAGGGGAGGCAGTCTCAGCCACTCCCCCTTTTTGTTTTTGTAAGAGTTCCTTGATGCTGCAATTAGCTCTCTCCACTATCCCCTGGCCTTGGGGATTATAAGGCAAGCCAAAGGTATGTGCAACCTGAAGTTGTGCGCAGAAGGTGCGAAAACCCTTGGAAGAGTAGGCAGGGCCATTATCCGTCTTCAGACAGACTGGCTTGCCCCAAGCCACCCAAGCTTCCAGGCAGTGGGTTTTAACATGAGTGGACTTTTCCCCTGCCAGAGGGGTGGCAAAAATAACACCCGAATAGGTATCCACTGAGACATGAAGATATTTGACACGGCCAAATTCTGGAACATGAGTGACATCCATTTGCCACAAGGTATTTGGTCATAGGCCTTGGGGGTTAACGCCTACATGGGGATGAAAGAAGGTGATACAAGAAGAACAGGCTTTTACAATGCTTCGAGCATCATGTCTGGTCAAAGCAAACTTTCTCCGCAGGGTATCGGCGGGGACATGATACAGGTTATGAAAATCCCGAGCTTGCTGGATGCGATCTGCAACCACCATAGTCATCAATGCTCTGGTGGCTAAATTAGCTTGCTCATTGCCTTTAGCAATAAAGCCAGGAAGCAAGGTATGTGCTCTAACATGGCCAACAAAAAAGGAATGGCTTCTTTGTAAAATACAGTGTTGAATCTGTAACAAGATATTTGAGATGGGGCTTGCCTGACGAACTGAGGCAGCCACCTCAAGGGAGGAAACCGCATTAACCACGTACTGGGAATCTGAAAACAAATTAAAGGGTTCTGAAAATTTCTTGAAAACTTCAAGTACCACCAAGCATTCAGTTGCTTGGGGTGTATCAGGTTGAAAAGAAAAAACCTGAGGCGTCGGTGTCCCACAACCATCGCCCCTTTTCCTGTTTTTGACCCATCAGTAAATATAGTCATGGCACCGACCAGGGGAACGGGTGAAGTGACCTTGGGAAAATAGACCAGATTATCATCCACAAAACTTAACAATGGATGTTTTGGAAAGTGATTATCTATAATATTAGAAAAGGAGCAGAGTAAAACTGCCCAATCATCCACAGTGGCAGCCAAAACTTCTACCTGATCTTTGGTATAAGGAATGATTAGCTTATCCGGCGTTTTTGCAAAGGATGTTAAGCAAAATTTTATGCCAATCATGGCCTGAAGGGCTACTAGGGCAGGATAATAATTAAGGGTCCGCATTCCCACCGAATTGCCATGTAGCCACCAGAGGGGCCCATCCTGCCATAACACACCAGTGGGAGAATGTCTTGTCTTTAGGATGTATAAAGAAATGGGAAGAGATGGATCATATCTATTAAGCTGTGCCGGGACAGTGCCTCCTCCACCAAGCGTAAGGAACGCTTTGCTGCAGGAGTCAAGGCCCGCGGGGAGGTCACATCAGGATTGCCCTCTAATATGGAAAATAGGGGCAATAATTCAGATCTAGGGAGGTGAAGATAACCCCTAACCCAATTGTTATCCCCAAGCAACTGCTGGACGTCGTTGTGTGTCGTCAGATGTTGAGTCCGAATAAGGATCTTCTGGGGGCGAATAGTATCTGGCTGAATTATCATCCCCAGGAACTTAGCTGTGGTCAAATGTTGTACCTTTTCAGGAGCTATAACCAGGCCCCGAGCCTCCAGTGTAGAAACTGTCCTTTGAAAGGCATCCTCAAGATTTTGTAGGGAACGGGCTGCCAACAGGATGTCATCCATATAATGAATAATACGCACATCAGGATATTGCTGCCGCACAGCCAACAAGGCAGCATCCACAGACAGTTGGCACATTGTAGGACTATTAGCCATCCCCTGTGGGAGGACCCGCCATTGAAAATGGGCATCGGGTTGTTCATGATTAATGGAGGGTATGGTAAAAGCAAAGCGCTCCCTGTCTTGCTTACACAGGGGGATCGAGAAGAAACAATCTTTAATATCCAAGATCATCACAGGCCAATTTCTCGGTAGAGCAGAAAGTAATGGGAGACCTCTTTGAGTAGGCTCCATGATCTGCATTTGGTTATTAACAGCTCTCAAGTCATGGAGCAATCGCCATTTTCCAGATGGTTTCTTAATGACAAAAATTGGTGTATTCCATGGCGAAACAGAGGGCTCAATATGGTCCAAGTGAAGCTGTTCCTGGACAAGCTGTTTAATTGCTTCTAATTTCTCTTGAGAAAGGGGCCACTGGGGTACCCACACCGCCTTCTGAGTTGTCCAAGGTATGGGGAGAGGCTGAATATCAGAAGCCAATGAGTCAGTGGCCCCTAAGAAAAACCCAGCCCTTTCCAGTCTGTCTTCACAGACGGGATGATGGGCTGAGATATACCCTGAAGATTTTTTCCTAGCCCCTTAGTGGGGATGAATCCCCTGTTTTTACTTTCCTCTGAGAACTCATTTGTCAACCGCAGCTGTAACTGCTGTTGGATGTCTCTGCCCCAAAGATTAATGGGGAGGTCAATTACAAAAGGTTGAACTCTGCCCTGTTGGTCCTCCATCTTCCAGACCAGCTCTTTCGAGCTTATACAGGGCGTGTGTGCATAGCCCAAGCCCTATAGGGATTGGGCCGAGCATTGGAGGGACCATTGTTTAGGCCATTCTTTAATTCTAATAATACTCCTGTCAGCGCCCATGTCAACTAAGCCATAAAAGGGCCTCCCTTCAATGATTAATTGTAATACAGGTCTGTCATCAAGAGCCATAGACAAACAAGCCAGATCAACTCCTGTAGAGCCCAGGCCTCCCTTTTCTCTGGCCCCTTTTCTTGAGGGAAACATCCCATGGGACGAGGGCAGGAGCAGGAGCTGAGCAATGTGATCTCCAGGAGCAATTGAAATAACCCCTGACAGGGAGTGACAAAGAAGCTTAATCTCCCCAGTATAATCCGGGTTGATTACTCCCGGGAAAATCATAAGCCCTTTCATTGTTGACGAAGAATGTCCCAAAACTATCCACACTTGGCCCTCTGGCAATGGACCTGACATGTCTGACGTCAAAATCTGAACCCCCATCTCAGGCGTTAATACCAATCCGGAGGTGGCACAGAGGTCCAGCCCTGCGGAGCTGCTAGTCGCTCGCTGGGTGACTGACTTGGCCCCATCAATTGGGGAGTCTGTGTTGACATAGGGGTCTGAAATGCCCCAAATATTTTTGGGCCCTGGGGACGGGGGGGCCCTCACCCCATTTTTTGACCCGGCTGTATCTGGTGGAAGAAGGGGGTGGCCATTTATGTCCTTAGTGGAGTGACACTCATTTGCCCAATGTTTGCCTTTCTTACAGCGTGGACAAGTCCCAGGCATGCGCGAACCTGTCGATGCAGGTTGCCTAGGCGAGACAGTGCCATTAGGGCAATTTCTTTTTAAATGTCCTGGCTGACCACATCGGAAGCAGCCTTTTCCTTTGGAATCATGAGCGGCTTTAGTTACAGAAAGCACAGCCGCAGCAAGGCCAGCGTTAGTCAGGGGGCCCCCCCACCTCCCGGCAAGCTTTGATCCAAGCATCTAAATTCTTATGTCTGACTGGGGCTATGGCCCTTTGACACTCTTTTGTACTTTGTTCAAAGATAATTTGTTGTACAAAAGGCATGGTGTATTCAGCACCACCTATTGTCTTATCTGCTACCTCAAGTAGCCTGGCTACAAAATCTGCAAAAGGTTCCGCGGGACCCTGAATGATCTTTGTCAAGTTACCAGCCACTTCCCCTTTATTGGGGAGGGCTCTCCAGGCCCGATAATGAATTTCATTTATTTGTTGATAAACATCCATGGGGAGGCCAACCTGATTGCCCAAATATCGTCCAAGGCCCAGGAGCATGTCTGCTGTCCATTCTGGGTGCCCATTTTGAATATGTATTCTAGCCTGTGTCTGGGCATTATCAGCGGCCAGGGACTTAAAGTCCAAGAATTGGCCCTTAGTTAGGCACGCTCTGCCCAACTCAATCCAATCTGTGGGCGTCAGCAGTGAGACGCAGATTCTGCGCAAAAGGGCGATCGAGTAATCTGCTGTAGCCCCAAAGTCTTTCACCGCCGTGACTAAATCTTTCAATTGCTTATAGGGGACGGGCTCATATCTCCTCTCCTGAGTCATTAGATCCTCCAGCACCAGAAATGCTGAGGCTAAATGGGCCCAGATGCCCTGGCTAATGTGATGGCAGCCTCCCCGCACTCCAAAATGCAAAGGAGCAACCTTTATAGGTGGTGCGGAGGGCACAACCCGTGGCGGGTCAGGTGGACGAGGTGTCAGATTTTTTATGCCATATGAGGGGTTGTGGGCAGGAGGGTGTACTCCTGGCCATTCCCATTCCTCCTCTCGATACCTTGCTGCTTCCTCTTCCAATTCCTCCTCATCATCATGACTAAGTTCATCATCTGACAACTCTAGATTAGAAAATTCTCTCAAGACAGGGTAAAGTCGGCCTGCCTCCTCCCCTGGCCTGGGGAGGGGCTGTTCCTCTTTCTTTTTATCTAATTTCTCCTTCTCATCTTTGCATATGATTATTTGCTTTTCCTTCTTTTCTATTTTTTTCTTAGGCCTATCCAAGTTTCCCTCTTGTATGTCTGATTCTGAAAAACTATCCTGGTGTGCTATCAATGCTTTTTGCCCTTCCCTAATGATTTCTGTATTGGTTCCCTCTCTGAGACAGTCACGCACAAGGCCCCAGAAAGGAATCGTGCCCCTTTTTAGTTTTCTTTCTCTCTCTGCTGTTTCGAGATCAAGCCCTAGCTTTTCCCAGGAGGGCAAAGTAAGATCCCCTGAGACTGCGAACCATGGAGCTGATTTATCTATATCTGTCAGCAAGGTGGTGATTGTCCGCCTTGACACCTTTAAATCACGTTGTCTAAGTAAGGCCTGTACGGGGCCTATCATGTCCACCATCTCTTGAACAGCGCCCTGGACGTTACCCATGGTACGTCAAGTCACCACTTTATCTACAGCGGACTTATCTGGCTTTTTCGAAAGGCTGCGTAAATTATGATAGACTCTAATCTGGATTTGGTTCCTCCCAAAGGCTGTTTTATCTACAACAGGCTTACTTTCGGGTTTAAGAATGCCTGCAGCAGCACAGGCACTCTTGCTCAGGCCTATGACAGCGCAACCAAAAACAGCAAAAGAGCACAACAACTACCATCAACACAAAAACCAGACAGAACACCAAAGGATCCATCCCCCCAATCAGCATACCTGGAGAAAACTTGCTTACCGACGTCGCCGCTCCACGTGTTGGGTTCTGAATCCTCTGTGGTCCCTCGCTCGGTACCAAAAGGAGTCCCAGCGTCCCGGGTTTCGGCACCAGTTGTGGAGACTACCACCAGACAAGGATTCTTCCCAAATCACGCTTTATTGGAGCCTCTTGGTTGAAGGGAGAACAGGAAGCAAGGGACCCCGAACAAAGACTGCAGCTGCTTATACAGGAGCTGAGGCAGCGTGCAACTGTCCTATTGGTCAAGCACCCCTGGCAGCCACCTCAGGCTCCCTGATTGGCCCAGCAAGCTGAAGACACTGAGCATGCTCCAGCTGGTGATTCTGGTTATGACCCTATATGGAGTTGTTTACTCCAGCCCTGCAGGGGCCCAGTGCCATCTTGGAATGGCGGCCACACCTCATGGCTCCCTGCATTATTCCAATGAGTGTGAGGGTACCTATGCCTCTTTAACATGCTATTTCAATTTCCCTGGAATATATAACTACTAGTCAAATTACTCTGTCAAATAGTAGTTTGAGATTTTAAGGAACCATTATGCTGTTTTCCATAATGTAGAAATTTACATTCTACCAATAGTATATACAAGTCACCTTTTCTCTACATTTTCCTTAGGAAGGTACATTATGTCACTTTGAAATGATTTTATGATTATTTAGATTTCAGAAACACAATAATTGGAAACATGAGTTGGTGAAATAAACATATTTGAATTTTCAGTCATTTTCTGCTAATAATTAACTTTGAGAACTGGATTGAGATGCTACCCTGAGGTTCTGAGGATGCAGCTCAGCTGCTAGGATGCAGGTGTAGCATGCTCTATCAGTCAACTTTTTTATTTGATGGCTATTTATCTGTTGTGAACAGTGCTCCTTACTTACAACATTAAAAACCTAAATTCTTCATGTGAATTTAAGTATGTGGGGGGAGGCAGCTCTGTAATAGAGCATACATGTGACTTGGGAACAAAGGCATTATATCCTCCCAGGTTTTAGAATTAAAGGCAGTGAGAGCCTCTGGACATGGTTACTAAGAACTGAACTGTTGAATATCTCTTTCTAACCTCCATTTTAAAACTTGTAGATTAGTTTCCCAAGCCAAACCATACCCAGAACCTACACCAAAAGGTAATGCTACAAAATTATGATTTTTTTAAATTTCAGAACCAAGTGGACATGCTACTTCAGGAAATGGCAGATGAAGCTGTGTAAGATGTTGCTATTCTAGTGCTTTTGAGTAATCTTGATTGATATTTAGAAATTTTAAAATCTGATGATATGGAGTTAAGGTGTGGCTAGAGTGTTTTTGGCCTAGTATGTGTAAGGTCCTGGATTGAAGCATAAGCAGTACTAAAAATTTGCTATGGATTGAAAACCTTGTCTTTAAAACCATTAGTCTGACCACACCTGTGTCTTCTGGTACTTTGCTGGTGCTTAAGGTGAGTGGGGGCCCTGCTCTGAGCCCCAACTCCCTACATCCTCCAGCTCCATCTCCCTGGCCATTTTCTGTGCCTAGAGAAGACCTGCCCCTCTTGGGAGGACCACCTTGAGTCTGCCCACACCTTAGTCTTCAGTGCCTTCAGGTCCTTTCCCAGGGTTTAAGGAGAGTGGGGGTGCCGATCTGAGCCCCAACTTCCTACATCCCTGGCTCCATCTCCCTGGACATTTGATGTGCCTAGAGAAGACCTGCACCTCAAAGAAGAATCACCCTGAGTCTGCCCACACCTGTGTCTTTTGGTCCTTTGCCAGTGCTTATGGAGAGGAAGAGACCCCATGAGTTCCCACTGAAAGAAAGGATGGGAAGAACGCATTATAAAAACACAGCCAACAACAGAGGAAACAGTATGACACCACCAGAGTCTAGAAACTTCTACACTAGCAAGAACTGAACATATCAACACTGATGAAACAGAAAAGAATGACCTTCAAAACAGCCTCCTGAAAGTGATAGAGGCCCTGAAAGAGGATATGAGAAAATCCCTTAAAGAAATGGAAGAAAACACAAACCAAAAAATGCAAGAAATCAACAAATCTATTAAGGAAAGTAAGGAAACCCAAGAAAAAAACAATAAAACAGATGAAGCAAACAAATCAAACAGTTCAAGACCAGAAAACCGAAATGGAGACAATAAAAAAACACAAACTGAGGTAATGCTGGAATTCAAAAGGTTGAAAAAACAATCAGGAACTACAGATGCAAGGATAACTAACAGAATACAAGAGATGGAAGACAGAATCTCGTGCACTGAAGATAAACTAGAGGAAATAGATTCATCAACAAAAGAAAGTCTTAAATATAGCAAATCCTTAACACAAATTATTCAGGAAATATGGGACACTGTGAAAAGTCCAAAGCTAAGAATGATAGGGATACAAGAAGGTGAAGAGGCCCAGCTCAATGGTACAGAAAACATATTCAACCAAATCATTGAAGAAAATTTTCCCAACCTGAAGAAGGAGATGCCTATGAAACTACAAGAAGCTTACTGAACACCAAATAGACTGGACCAAAAAAAAAAGAAGTCCACTCACCACATAATGTTCAAAACACCAAACATACGGAATAAAGAATGAATACTAAAAGCAGCAAAGTAAGAAGGCCAAGTAACATATAAAGGCAAACCTATTAGAATTACACTCAACTTTTCCATGGAAACTATGAAAGCCAGAAGGTCCTGGATAGATGTTCTAGAAACACTAAGAGACCACATATTCCAGCCCAGACTACCATTCCCATCAAAACACTCAATCACTATAGATGGCACAAACAAGATATTATAGAACAAAACCAAATTTATGCAATAAGTATCCACAAATCCAACACTACAGAATGTTCTAGAAGAAAAACTCTGAACCAAGGATGCTAACTACACTCAAAATGTCAAGGGCAATAGATAATCTAACTTTATCAGAAATCAGAAATAGGAGAAAAACTCACAGATAAAACCACCACCGAAAACGGATGCAAAGCAAACAAGAATCAACAATCAGTGGTCGTTAATTTCCCTGAATATCAGTGGTCTTAACTCACCTATAAAAAGACGCAGGCTAACAGAATGGATGCGATGACAGAATCCATCCTTCTGCTGCATACAAGAAACACACCTCAATTTCAAAGATGGACACTACCTCAAGGTTAAGGGTTGGGAAAAGACCTTCCAATCAAATGGACATAAGAAGCAAGTGGTTGTAGCTATCCTAATATCTGCCAAAATAGATTTCAAACTAAAATTAATCAAAAGAGATGAAGAAGATCACTTCATATTCATCATAGGAAAAATCCATCAGGAAGAAGTCCAAATTCTGAACATATATGCCCCAAACATAAAGGCACCCACGTTCATAAAAGAAACATTATTACAACTCAAATCAAACATTAATCCCCAAACACTTATAGTGGGACACTTGAACACCCAACTCATACCACTGGACAGTTCCTCCAGACAGAAACTTAACAAAGAAAAAATGGACCTAACAGAAATTATAACCTAATAGGGTTTAACAGACATCTATAGAACATTCCACCCAAACAAAAAATATAGCTTTTTCTCAGCACGACATGGAACCTTCTCTAAAATTAACCACATACTTAGCAGTAAAGCAAACCACAACATATACAAACAAAAAACAAAAAACAAAAACGGAATAATCCCCTGTATCCTGTCGGACCACCACGGCTAAAAATTAGAATTCAATGTCAACACAAATTGCAGAAACCTAATAAACACATGGGAATTTAACAATGCTCAATTGCATCACAACTGGGTAAAGGAAGAAATAAATAAATAAATAAATAAATAAAAGACTTCTTATAATTCAATGAAAACAAAGGCACAAAATACCTAAGCCTTTGGGATACTGGGAAAGCAGATCTGAGAGGAAAATTCATAGCACTAATTCCCCACATGAAGAAACTGGAGAATTGCCACACTAGAGAATTAACAGAACACCTCAAAGCTCTAAAACAAAAAGAAGCAAACTCACCCAGGAGGAGAACACACCAGTAAATAATCAAATTGAGAGCTGAAATCAATAAAGTAGAAACAAAGAAAACAATACAAAGAATCAATGAAACAAAGAGTTGGTTCTTTGAGAAAATCAACAAGATAGACAACCCTTTATCAAACCTAACTAAAAGACAGAGAAACAACATGCTAATTAACAAAATCAGAAATGAAAAAGGGGACATAACAACAGACACTGGGGAAATCCAAAGAATCATCATGTCATATTTTGAAAATCTGTACCCCACTAAATTAGAAAATCTAAAGGAAATGGATGATTTTTCTGGATAGCTATCACTTACCAAAATTAAATCAAGAAGAGATAAACAATTTAATCAGATGTAAAGAAATAGAAGCAGCCATAAAAATTCTTCCAACAAAGAAAAGTACAAGGCCAAATGGTTTCAGTGCAGAATTGTAACAAAAATTCAAGGAAGAGCTTATACCAATACTCTTCAAATTGTTCCACACAACAGAAGCAGAATGTTCACTGCCAATTATTTTTATGAGGCTACAATTACATTAGTAGCCAAACCACACAGACACAACCAAGACAGGGAATTACAGGCCAATCCCCTCATGAACATTGATGCAAAAATAATAAAATACTGGCAAATCAAATCCAAGAACTCATCATAACAATCATACACCATGATCAAGTAGGCTTCATCCCAGGGATGCAGGGATGGTTCAACATATGAAAATCCATCAATGTAATCCACCATATAAACAACCTGATTATCTCACTCGATGCTGAAAAAGCCTTTGACAAAATCCAACACCCCTTTATGATAAAGGTCCTGGAGAGATCAGAGATAACAGGAACATAACTAAACATAATAAAAAGCTATATACAGCAAACCAACAGCCAACATCAAGCTAAATGGAGAGAAACTAAAGGCAATTCCTCTAAAATCAGGAACAAGACAATGATGTCCACACTCTCCATATCTCTTCAATATTGTACTTGAAGTCTAGCTAGAGCAAAAGGACAACAAAAGGAGATCAAGGAGATACGAATAGGAAAGGAAGAAGTAAAACTTTCAATATTTGCAGACAATATGATAGTCTACGTAAGCAACCCAAAGAATTCTACCAGGAAATTCCTACAGCTGATAAGCATCTTCAGGATAGTGGCAGGATACAAAATTAACTTAAAAAATCAGTATCCCTACTGTATATATACTGTAAAGGGGATGAGAAAGAAATCAGAGAAACATTACTCTTTACAATAGCCACAAACACCATAAAATATCTTGAGGTAACTCTAACCAAACAAGTGAAACACCTGTATGACAAGAACTTTGAGTCCTTAAAAAAGGAAATTAAAGAAGATACCAGAAAACGGAATGATCTCCCAAGCTCTTGGATATGTACGATATACGTAGTAAAAAAAAGCAATATTACCAAAAGCAATCTACAGATTCAATGCAATCCCTATCAAAATATCAGCACAATTTTTCACTGACCCCAAAAGGACAATACTTTACTTTATATGGAAAAATAAAAGACCCAGGATAGCCAAGGCATCCCTGTACAATAAAGGAACCTCCGGACGCATCAACATCCCTGACTTCAAGCTCTATTATAGAGTTATAGTCCTGAAAACAGCTTGGTATTGGCACAAAAGCAGACAGGTAGACCAATGGAATTGAATTGAAGACTCTGATATCAACCCACACACCTTTGAATACCTGATCTTTGACAAAGAAGCTAAAAGTATACAATGGTTAAAAAAAAGCATCTTCAACAAATGGTGCTGGAGTAACTGGATGCTGGCATGTAAAAGACAAAAAGATGATCGATATCTATCACCCTGCACAATACTTAAGTCCGAATGGATCAAAGAACTCAACATCAATCCAGCCACACTGAATCTCTTAGGGGAGAAAATGGGAAGTACCCTTGAAGTAATTGGTACAGGAGACTACTTCCTGAACATAACACCAGTAGCACAGACACTGAGATTGACAATTAATAAATGGGGCCTCCTGAAGCTGAGGAGCTTCTGCAGGGCAAAGGACACAGTCAACCAAACAAAAAGGCAGTCCACACAATGGGAAAAGACATTCACAAACCCCACTTCTGACAGAGGTCTGATCTCCAAAATTTACACAGAACTCAGGAAGCAAGACTCCAGAACACCAAAGAATCTAATTAAAACATGGGGTACAGAACTAAATAGAGAATTCTCAATAGAGGAGTCCAAAATGGCCAACAGATGCTTGAGTAAGTGCTTAACATCTTTAGCCATTATGGAAATGCAAATCAAAACACCTCTGAGATACCATCTCACTCCCTCACTCCCATCAGAATGGCTAAAATCAAAAACACTAATGAAAGTTTATGTTGGAGAGGATGTGAAGAAAGGGGTACACTCCTCCACTACTGGTTGGAATGCCAATTAGTGTAGCCACTTTGGAGATCAGTATAGAGATTCCTCAGAAAAAGTGGCAAACAGTCTACCATAAGATCTAGCAATTCCACTCTTAGGCATATACCAAAGATGTACCTTCATATAATAAGAACATCTGCTCTACTATGTTCATAGCAGCATTATTTGTAATTGCCAGAACCTGGAAAGTACCTAGATGCCCCTCAACTGAAGAGTGGATAGAGAAAATGTGGTACATTTACACAATGGAGTACTACTCAGCAGAAAAACAATGGAATCTTGAAATTTACAGGCAAATGGATGGCACTGGAAGAAACTATCCTGAGTGAGGTAACTCAGACACAAAAAGACAAGCCTAACCTACTGTCAGTATTAAATAAAGATCAATAGGCGACTTTTTCTAAGGCTAGAGCACTGTTTCTCACCTTTTGCAGTGTTGACATTTTGGAGAAATTAATATTAGGGTCTGTTTTAAGCACTGTGGAATGTTAGCAGCACGCTAGCCTCTGCTCTCCAAAAACCAGTAGCACCATTTCTCTAGTTGTGTCAGCTAAACATGTCTCCAGATAGTGCTATCTGTTCCTGAGGAAAATGATACCAGTATTGAGAAATTAATCAACTCAGTAACTGAAGCAGGAAATATAAGTATCGTCACTGATATGTAAACATTAATGCCTACCATTAAGAATGTTTAGGTGTCCAGTATTTTTTTGAGTTAACTATTCTCATAATAAAATTTTAGTATATCATATGTTTACCTTTCCAAAAACAATCTGTCAGTAACATACCATAATGACTCTAAAATTGCTGTTTTACTTGTAGAGTATTCACAACAGATTGCATTGTTTTAGAGACACAATAAATAGTTTGTATTCTAAACGAATAGTGTAATAGACATTAAGGGCATGGGCCTTGCAGATAAGGAAACAAACAAATCTAGATCTATGTCGATGCTATCTCATTCACTGGGAGAAGTAGAGGGAGGGAAAACAATAATCAAGATATATTGTCTGAGAAAAGAATATTTTCAATAAATGGAAAATTATACTTAATACTATGAACCCCAGTTATGTAGTTGGAAGAAATTCTTGGCTCCTCAAAGCCCTCTGAATCAACTGAGCAAGGCTTGTATAACCTCACAGAAGCTGAAGCAGGAAGAACAGGGTCTACATGGTCTCCACCTGGTCCTCGGCATATATATTATATGCCCCAGCTTAGGGGTTGTGTGGGACTCCTGAGAGTGTGAATGAGTGGGCTCTGATTCTCATGCCTCCTTTTAAGGTTCTTTTCTTTGTGTGGGTTTGCATTGTCTAGCCTTGATGTGATGGTTTTTGCTTTATCTGATGATATTATATTTCGTTTCGTTATGTTTTCTTCTTCTCTTGGAAGCCTGTTCTTTTCTAATGAGAGACAGAAAGGGAATGGACCCAGAAGAGATGGGCGGTGGTAAGAAGAGAAGAACTGGGAGGAATAGAGGGAGGGGAAACTATAATCAAGATGTATTGTATGAGAAAAGAATCTATTTTCAATAAATGGAAAATCATACTTAAGATTTAAAACATAAAAAACTAAATCTCAATATGGAGCTTCCACAGTTTCAGACAGGGTCTGTTCGTGCAAGTGTTGCTTCTGTGGAGCAGGTAGGGGATGAATTTTATTGTGATTTATATACTTGACTCATGTTTAAATTAATAATTTGAGAAGTAAGGGGGCCAGGAGAGATGGCTCAAAGGTTAAGTGCACTGGCTGCTGTTCCAGAGGTCCTGAGTTCAATTCCCAGCAACCACATAGTGGCTCACAACCATCTATAATGAGATCTGGTCCCCTCTTCAAGCCTACAGGGATACATGCAGGTAGAATACTACATACATAATAAATAAATCATTAAAAAACAATGATAATTTGAGAAGTATATATTTTATATGAAATGTATATATTTCTGTATATAAAGAAATATGTTCATGCTTTTATAGAGTATTTTTCTACTATGACATATCATTAAAATGAACAAAACATGAGAAGCTAGTATCTATGAACCTGTGGGCATTTTCAGTTTGCATGCATGCTTCTGTATTTTAGATTTACTACGTGATTCAATTTCTTTTATGATATTTAAGAAAACTAAATGTCTCATGTTTATATAAATTTTACAAATGGGATATTAAATCATATTTAAAATGCAAGTAGGTTAAATTTTTAGTGGTTTATATTTCTTACAGCCATTGATGATTTGTCAATTTGGCTTTCTCTAGGATGAACTGTCACAAAGGCTTGCTCATCTTTGTGATCATGTGTAACTTAAGCAATTGGTGCTTCTGTTTCCTCCACGTGTATCTGAAACATCCTATGTGTGTACATATGTAAAATTTTACTCTAGCTAGAAAAGCCCCATACATGCCAGAATGTTTGAACATTATTTATATATGATGTTTTCTTTTGCCTTATGTATTTTGCAGTCCAAAAAAGAATTCCAGTGAATTTCTATGTTGGCTGACTTTATAGTTCTTTATATTACATATTATTCCAGATATCCTTGACAAAGCTACTATTAATTTTCTGTATAGTATACATCTTCCTCAAATATTAGAGCAAACACATAGCACCAAAATACTGCTAAATAATGTAATTTAATCAGAATAAAGGCTTTTTTTAATTGAAAGAATTTTCAATCATTGTCTGTAATGAAATGTGATTTTTATAAAAATAAAAGCAGAAAAAGCATGTTTAATGTTTATATAGCCCAAACTATTGCATTTCAAGTATCACAAAACAGACTTTTGTTTTCAATGGGATCTTAAAAATTATCTTTATTTTGTACACATGGTTGTTTTGCCTGCATGTACAATTGTGTACTACTTGTGTGCTTGGTGCCCATAGAGGCCTCCCCTGGAACTGAAGTTACAAACAGCTGTGGATGCTGGAATTTGAACTCAGCTCTTCTAGAAGAACAGCTAGTGCTCTTATCTCTTGGGCCATATACTCAGCACATTTTGCTTAGTTTTGGTGTAGATTTATTATTATTATCATTACTATTATCATTATCATTATTATTATTATTTTAGAGACAGCATGGGAATATATCGTCCAGACTAGTGTCAAACTCATTGATCTTTCTGCCTCGGTGTCTTGGTGCATGCCACCACACCCAGTTCATTTTCTATGATTTATGGGTTCTTTTACATCATGTGCACTAGTTATTTTTCTATTTCTGATACAACATCATCTCCAAAAGTGGCTTATGGAAGAAAGGAGTTCTTTTGTTTCATGGTTCCAGAGGGATAAAGGTTCATCACGGTGGGGAGGCATGGCGTCAAGAACAAGAAGCTGGGCTGTCACATCTTCAGTGGCAAACCCAAAGCAGAGGGAACAGATGAACTGGGGCAGGACTATAAGCTCTCAAAACATACCCAAATGGCATGCTTTGTTTAGCAAATCTTCACATTGCCCTAACTTCCCCAAACTCACCATCAAGTGGAAAACAAGTATTCAGAAGCATGAACTTATGGACAACATTTCTCATTCATGCTACCACATTCTTCTCCTGTCTCCCATAGGCTTGTGGTCATATCATCATGCAAATGTGTTTAGTTAAACTTGAAGGGTGACCATAGTCTTTTTCAGTATGAACACTGTTTCAGACTTCAAAGCCCAACTTCTCTTGTGAGACTCAAGGCAATCTCTTACTGTAGCCACCTATAAAATCTAAAAGCAAGTAACATACTTCCAATATACAATGGCACAAAATGAACATTTTCATTTTAAAGGGAGGAAAGGGGGCATAGTGAGGAAATCCTGGCCTGCAGAAAGACTGAAACGTCATGGAAAGAACAAGCTAACCCTGTAGCTCCATGTCTGATGTCTGGAACTTTCCCTTCAAAAGGCTTAGATGGCTTAACCTTTCCAGCTTTGCTGTCTGCAACAGCCCACTCTCTGGTATCAATTTCTATGTTCATCACTTTTGTCTTGTTGTGATTAACACCATAGAAGGAAGCAACTTACAGATGAAAGAGTTTATTTTGGCTTACAGTTCCAGAGCGACAAGAGAGAGTCCATCAAGGCATGGGAGGCTTGGAAGCAAGTGCATGAAGCTGAGAGACCACATCTTCCATGGCAAACATGAAGCAGATAGAGCAACCAGGGACTGGGGCAAGGCTATCCCTCTCATTGCCTGTCCCCCGTGACACAATTCTTCCTGCAAAGTTGCACAATAATCTATACCATAACCTTCCCAAACAGCACAACCAACTTGTGATCATAGTTTCAAATATGTGTGCTTGTGTGGGACTTTTCTCATTCTAACCACAGTATGTAAGGAGAAACACAGTTCTGTTTTCCTCAGCTGTTAATTTTAAATTACTACCATTTTAACCAGTAATGTAATGATGACTATTGGTTAAACTTTTAAGACCTTTTTGTTGACAATATGTTACATGACTAGGAAAATTATGCAAAATTAATCTGAAGAAATTAAGGCTTGTTCCTTTTTAAATTTTCTGTTTGCAACATATTACAATTATGATTCCCAGAAAGTGCTTTTTCTTGGCACCTCCTAGGCCATTGGCCATGTCTAAATGAGGCTGAATATCTCATTCCTAGCCTCCAGCTGTCAGAAATTGATGGAAATAGACAATGAATACAAACATTGTACTGTCTATGAAATATGCATGGCAAAAATGTAGCTGCTGATGCTCTGGCTGAAGAACAGACAGGCTATGTATTTTGAATCTGTTACGAGAATGACAAACATAGTTTTCTAATAAAGCAAGATATCTTGACCTATGCCAGAGTGTGCCTGCTGTTGAGTAAATGTCATTCTTGTTGTAGGCCAGGGAGAACTATAGAAAGAAAGCACAAATATTTTCATGGATGAACTATAGGTTGTTGTGTGATATTTTGATCACACCCTGACAGTTTCCAATACTGGAAATAAAGTTTACCTTAAATCAGAAGGTAGAGCTGCCTATTACCTGACCAGGATTAGCCATGGAGGTTTATGAGGACATGGGACATATAAAGAGACACAGAAAGTAGTAGACAGGGGCTTAGAATGATTCCTGTGTCCTTTTGGATCAAGGAAACGGAGAGAGGATATCACTGGTCACTTCTCTATTGTCTCTTTCATCAATCATGTTTTAATACAATATATGACTGCCAAATTTTAATTGATAAAAATAACTTTGATAAATACTTCATCTGGCACCCATTCAAATGAAATTCTTTAATGTACTCATTGGTTCATTTATTTATACCCAATTCTTGTTCTGTATTTTAAAGGTTACTTTACATGATATTAATGTCACAGTTTTCCATGTTATTGATCATTGATTCATTTCCCAGAATCATTCTTTTAAGACAATAACCTTTAAGAACAACAAAATGAGTAGAAGTAGATATGATAAATTGTTTTGTTCAGTCAGTCAGGCAAACATCTTCTATCCTAGTGGAAGCCAGAAGAATAAGATGGGAGTTAAGGGCCGCCGAAGGCAGCTTTGTACATAGTGCAAAACCAAGGCCCTTAAGAGAATACCTTTGAACACTTGCTGCACTACTTGTAATATCTCCGGGAATACTTATATTTTAACAAGCTAAAATAAATACTTTAGCACTTGCCTGCATTTTTGACATTGCATTATCAATTGTGGGAAAATAACGAAATTTTATTTTAGCAACTGTATCACTAATCTCGAATAAGCATATGTTTGCCTTTATTTACTGAAAGACCAGTCCATGAAAAATATTGTAATACATTTTGAAATTCAGTAAAAGAATAAGACCCTGCATTCCATCTCCAAAACCAGAAAATGTTGTTTCCCATATAAATCATAAGGTATTCAAAATGATACCATAGAGATACTTTTTCACTATATACTCAACTATTCATATATTCTATATCTTATGCACAAGAGGATATGTAAGTGAAAATTATACTTACTGGTCACTATGTGAAGAACTTCTCTTGATAATTTTTATTAAATTTTTAACTTCCACAGTGTTTGATTATATGATTGTAGTCATAATATATATTCTTATTTGTAATTAATTTCTCCTTAAAGTTTGTATTAAAGCACACTAGGTAACCATGGAAGACATTTTAATGGGTTAAAATATTTATGACAAAGAATTCAATGGTGTGAATTAAGTAGGTTCTGTTCTTTTAACATGAATAAATATTGTTAGCTCTGCAGATAGTTGTTCATCCTTTTAGGTTGCAATCATTTCACATTTGTATTTTAAAAGTATTAATACTGGGACTGAAGAGTTGAGAGTTCATACTACTGTTACAAGAGGACCTGAGTTTGTGGGCCAGCAGCCACAGCAGTCAGTTCACAACCACCTGTCACTAGCTACAGAGAATCCAGTGGCACACAGACACACATACACATAATTTAAAAATAAAGACATACCACACATGGTGGCACTTACCTTTAATGCCGACACTCAGGAGACAAGCCATGAGATCCAGGCCAGCCTGGTCTGCATAGTGAGTTCCAAGCCAGGAAGAGATACACAAGGAGGAAAGGACTCAATATTTGGAAAATATTAATAAGGCAGGTGAGATTATTTAGCAGTTATAGGCACTTGGCACAAAGCATGATGGCATAAGTTCAGTCCCTGTGACCCACAGGGTGGACATAGACATCCAGATCCCACAAATTGTCCTCTGACACCCACACACATTCCTTTGAAGGCACACATCCACTTATGCACACATACATGAAAATTAAAATACACTGATGGACACAAAGTTTTACTTCTACTCATTCTTTTATGAGTATAATAAAAATGTACCTCTTAAACTTTATTCCTAAACCAAGAACCTCAGAGATTTCAGCATAATTTTACTTCTAGTTTGATAATGACTTCAAAAATTTATAAGTAACATATCAGACCCCACTATCATGAAAAGTATAATAGTTTTTTATTATGCATTGGCTTCAATTTAGTCCTCTACCAATCTCATGTTTCCCTGGTGTGTTTTCTAAGCTCTTGATGGTAGGTAGCATTTGGTTGAGCATATATACCTGAATGTTCAAAACATCCTGTTGCACTTTGACCCATTTGATAAAGAGGCTGATGATAATTCTCCATTTGTTCATGGGGCTTAATGCTTGAAATCAATCTGCTTGCTGTGAACTATTTTAGGTAGCATTAGGGACTAGGTTATTTTACCTGGTTAATTGGTTTCTCAGGAGTGCCACTTGTAGAAGAAGTAATGGAAGATGGAAAAGGTATCTATGAGGAGTGAGTTTGCTGTGCTATTTAGGTAATACTCAGGAAGGAGCATATGAATAATTTG